GTGTTTCTCTTAGTTTACTTGCCTTGGGAGGGCACTCGTCTCTTTGGGGGTTATCGTAGCGCTACATTAGTGCCGGCAGTTGTCGGTGGGGGTAGCAGAGCGCTACATTTGTATTGCGGCGGTAGTTGCGGTTTCAAGTCTGAGCAGAGCTGCTACAATCACCGCTCCCTGTCGGACGTGACGGAGCTACGTGGGGTGTTGGGTATGCGATGGCGCTTGTTTCTGTTGACAGGGCGGGACACCCTCCTTGAATAATGGTAGATGAAACACTGCTAGCGGGCAGCACGGTGGTGCAACTTGTGGTGCAACTGCCTCTCAGCGAGAAGGTTGCCGGTTCAAATCCCGGTCTGGGGGCCTTTCTGGGTGGAGTTTGCATGTTCTCTCTGTGCATGTGTGGGTTTTCTCCGGGTACTCTGGTTTCTTCCCACAGACCAAAAACATGCATGTTAGGCTGATTGGTAACTCTAAATTGTCCCAAGGTGTGAGTGAGAGAGTGAATGGTTTGTCTCGTTTGTCTCTATGTGTCCCTGTGATGGACTGGAGACATGTCCAGGGTGTACCCCGCCCCTCGCACTGTGATTGCTGGATATGGGCACCAGCGACCCCCGTGACCCAAAATGGAAGAAGTGGATAAAGATAATGGATGGATTGCTAGCTTTGACAAGAATGACTGTGGCAGCTAAATATTCTTTATCATGGCACTAACTCCAGAAGGAAATGTTAAGCAGGTAAAACTGGTGGTATACCAGAGCAGCGTTCATGTATGTGTCACAGTCTTGACTCCACAAACATTCTCCATAGTTTTTTTTTTTTTTTTTTTGCCTTATTAAGCCGTGTGTGTCTGTCCGTCCCTCCCTTCCAGACAGTTGGAAAATGCAAAGTGGGTGCTAAAGGAAAGGGCACGGCCTGAAATGAGGAGAGACCGTTGGCTTTGGAAGAAGGAACAATCAAAGGGTGGAAATGAAAGGATGTTGAGCAGCTAACTTCCTGTCACCTCATTTGTAAAGTGCCGTTCATTGGGTTGAATGACAGACTAATACATCTGTTTTGCTTTTCAGTCAGCTGCAACATGTCTGGTTAAAGGAGTATTCAAAGTGGCAGAAAAGCTGGTTTTTACTACAGCAATTTTTTTTGCCCTATTTAGTTATTTGTTAGTCTTAAAGGCGTGAGAGCTTGTACTGTAAACTAAACACAAGGAAGTCTTTGTGTATGAGGGGATACCCCCATTATAGTTCTGAAAGTCTGATTGATAAGATGCCAGATTACACGATGAGTTTAGACATGCTATCATCATAGTGGTTTTAGCAGATTGTTGATAGTGTTTTTTTTTTTATATATATATATATATAATATAAGTGAGGGTTTTTTTGGTTTGTGTTTATTAGAGAGGAGCAGGAATTGGCAGAATGTGTTTTCAGAGCAGCTTTGTTTCAATGTAGCAGCGTGGCTGAACTGAATCACATGAATAGCCTGTTTGTTTGGATGCAGACCGTATTCTTTCAGCCCATTGCTTCATTCAGGACGCAGGAAGTTACATTATTTGTTATTTCAGGCTCCATTTGAATCCCTTGCAGCATTTTTCACCAGCCATATGTAATGTGGACAGACGCTGACCTGTGTGAGCAGCGGGCTCATAATTAAAGCTGTTCTGAAAGATTTATTCTTCCTTTTTAACATTCATTCAGTTCTGGCTTGGGTTTTCCTCTCGTGCTAACTGCTGTACGACACGTTAATGATAGTTTGACAGACATTTCCTGTCTCCTATCAGTGGCCGCCCCTGGCACTTTGTGGATGTAGAAAAGCCTGAAGAAGCGGGGGATGCAGAGTTAAAATATCTGTGGAAGACTGACTGGTTTAACAAGTCATTTAAAATGAAGATTAGATTAAGAATGCTTTTAAAAATGTATTTATTGTTTTAAGGCCAGTTGCCAACAAGCAGGAAACCATGCTTTCATTTCCTGAAATATGAATTTGACAGAAGTCTGGACTGGAATAAATGCCTATTTCTTCTCAACTCAGAAACTTTTACTGTGATCAGCTCTTCTGCGTGGTTTCTACTTTCTTGCTCACAGCTAGTCGTCTTTTCTTCTTCTTTCCCACCAAGCACTTTGCAGAATGACTCATCAACCTGCAACCTGAAGGCTTTTTGACTGTTGAACTCACTTCTGGACTCAGTGACGAGCTAATGAGTCATCGACCGCTGCCCTGTAGCTCAGAACAGAGTAATGTCTGCTTGTTCTTTTTTTTTGGAAAATGTACTAAACTTGTGCGATTACTTTGGGTTTTGATAAACGTTGCAGCATTGTAATAGTTTTGGAAGTGCTAGTGAGTTTCACTGTTCCCAAAGTTGGCTCTGGTACCTCTCAACTTCTCAGCGATTCTTGAAGTCAGGGAAAACCTGCAAAATGAATTTCACATTTTCCGGAAAGAGAAAACTCTGGGAATTTGAAGTAAAAAAACATAAAAAACTCAGGGAATTTTAACACTGATGTGTTGATAAAAAATACTTCATAGATTTATTACGCGTATGGTACGTACATGTATTAATGCTAATATTCAAGTATCAATGAGTTCATGTTCTTCTACAGGCACATAATACCTGTATTTACTGATTGGCTGTGGTGGCTTTTTAGCATCTGATAAACAATATCATTAATATTAGGAATGATTGCCATACCATATACTACTCTGGTTCTATTTTGTGTGACTGGAAAATCTCCTGGAATTTCAGGATTTACTCAGAGAAACTTTAAGAATTTTATTTTCATGAAACACTGAGAACTCTTGACATTGTTGGAGGGGGAAGGTCTTTAGAAGATCTTTATAAATTATATTAACTCTTAAAAATTAGACTAAAGCACATTGTATCCTTAACTGCTACAAATAGATAAAAATAAACAATTATCAATGAATAAATTAAAGTTGTACTTTGTCACATTTCTGCTTCAACCAACAATAGCTGGGGTTAGAAGTAACTCCAGCTTTTAAACGGAACATGCGACACAAAGACTTGACACAAGTCCAACACAAACTGGATATCAATCATCTGTGATGGGCTGTTACCTAGTTTGAATGTGGCTCCCTCACAGATAATGGTTGGAGAAACTGTTCAGCAGAGGAAAATTTTGTACGATTGTTTTTATTTTTTTGTCTGGTTTCTTTCTTTCACAGATTTTATTCATTTTTAATTTAACCTTTATTTATACAGGTAGTCTCATTGAGTCACAAGAACTCATTTTCAAGAGAGACCTGATTTTGGAGTAGATGGTGGGGGTTAGGGGCCTTGCTCAGGGGCCCAGAGTGGAGCAATTGAGGGTGGAGGCAGGTGTGGATGTTTCACCTTTTCCACCCACATTTTGATGTTGACTGTACCGGGAGTTGAAACTGCGACTTTCCGATCACAGGCCCATCTTCTCTAACCACTGCTCCACCACTCCCCACTTTTGTTTACCAAAGCCTGATGATGAGAGAAAAAAACAACTATTGTATTTTCCCTGCCAGCTTGGTCGTACCCTGCATTCTTCATAATTCATTCATGCAGATCTAAAGTTCTGGTGTCTTCTGATATTGCATCAGATATTATAATACTGCAGTATAATTCTCCAGGAACCTCCTCCTATTATTGATCTAATATTGACTTGTGAAACAAGGATAAAAGCACGTAGAATAGATTACAATAGCTCCCATGCTTTTGGAGCAGTATTTCAGTCTGTTTGAATTCAGCTTTGTGACGAATGATTAAAATGACAAAGGATTTCCTTGTCAGAGCTGCATGGTCATGCTCGTGGTTGTGCTTGAATATTTTTAACTGAAAACTTCTGTAGACGACCCACGTTTAGGTCTTAGACTTGTGTTTGCACTGGTTCTGCACATTGTCACTGTAGGCGGCTTAGGAAAAGTATTTTGCCATGAAAAATGAACAATAGAAATTGTAAAAATGTTCCAAGTGTGTATAATAAAACTTGAATGGATTTTTTTTATACCTTTTTTTTTATTTATATAATAAATAAATATAAGGAAAAAAAAACATTTAAATCATGAGGAAAAAGTGATGACTTTTTTGCAAATGGTCCCATCTGTTTAAGGCAGAAGTGGTTTGGTTGACATGGTGGAAACTTGTCAGTCATGAGGAACCTGGTCATTACTGTGCTCCCACCAAATTCATTCAGATTAACCCTAACCCTCCTGATGCAGGTTTGTGACCATATTTTAAATTTTCCTGTTTTTAATAGATTATTATTTATTTTTTTATTTTTTATTTGTTTATTTTCTTCTTTCGGATGCTCTCTTCCTCAGGGGTCTCCACAGCGAACTAACTCACATTAATGTTTGTTTTTATGCCAGATTCCTGACACAACCACAGACCATCGAGCTACCACAGCCCTCTGTGTGGAGCAGAGAGCTGCCATCTAGAGTGCTCGGTGGAGCAGATTGTGGGGGTTAAGGGCCTTGCTCAAGGGCCCAGATTAGGGCAAATGAGGGAGGAGGCAGGTGTGGGTGTTTCACCTTTCCCACCCACATTTTGATGTCCTGTCTGGGGGAGTCGAACCTACGACTTTCCGATCACAGACCCGCCTTCTCTAACCTCTGCGCCACCACTCCCCCATGCTAAAGCTCTGATTGCTAGTTGTAAAACGGTGTGACAGGTGCTTGCCCATGTGATGAGTCAGTGTGCACAGTAGGGCAATTAACTTGAGTTAATTAGAAGGTAAAGCCACCACTCCCTCCTGTTTTTAATAGATTATTGCAAATAATTTAGCTAAGCACAAATATACTTGATGTGTGAATTCAAACTGTTGTGGGTAGTTATAAAAAAGGAACAAGATCCAAATTTCTTTAAACATTTTTCGCTGAGGCTTCTAGACGTCTCTCCCTCCACTGTGCTCCTGTGTTTTTATTATTTGTGATTTTTCATAGTAAGACATCTGGTGAAAGAGTAGATGTTTAATGGAGAACCTGGTGACTTATGTTCTCTTCTTCCTCTCCTTTTTACTCCTCAGGCAGAGGGTGATGTAGCAGCTCTTAACCGTAGGATCCAGCTGGTGGAGGAGGAGTTGGACCGAGCCCAGGAGAGACTGGCCACAGCGTTGCAGAAGCTTGAGGAGGCAGAAAAAGCTGCAGATGAAAGCGAAAGGTCAGTTATTGCTTTAGTTTCTCTCAAATAACTTTTTTCTTTAAAAATATATATTTACCTCCTCCCTCTCTTGTTCCTGTCCAATTAGAGGGATGAAAGTGATTGAGAACAGAGCAATGAAGGATGAGGAGAAGATGGAGATCCAGGAGATGCAGCTGAAGGAGGCCAAACACATTGCAGAGGAAGCCGATCGTAAATATGAGGAGGTAAGGCGTCAATGGTAGGAGCTGCGTTGGACCCACTTTATTCTGGTTAAAGTCTAGAACAACTGAACGTTTTCTGTCTCAGGTGGCTCGTAAGCTGGTAATCTTGGAGGGAGAGCTGGAGAGAGCTGAGGAGAGGGCCGAAGTCTCCGAAGGGTAAAGCCAAGATGCACAGAGACACAAAGATGCTCTTAACTTCCTGCTCTTGAACTACATCAAAGCGTGCCTCATTTTCTTTGCACAGTAAAGCCAGTGACCTGGAGGAGGAGCTGAAAAATGTGACCAACAACCTGAAGTCCTTAGAAGCCCAGGCTGAGAAGGTGAGAGTGAAATGGAGAGGGTGGTGTCCACTGGGGAAGTACGCTGTGAATTATTGTTCTTGGAGAGAAAATCAGGTTAGGCCAGAATCTAAATTGGCTGCTCAGATCTGAAATAGTGACAAGGCATCTCTATTTTAAAATAATAGTTTGATTTCTCACATATTTCCTGCCGCAAACAATCTAAATATAAACATCAACGTCTGTTGTGAGCTCCAGGTCTGGCGTCTCGCACATACTCATCTTCACTGCCATGTATCCTGTAATTTGGGCTGCTCGTGGCTCGCTACATGGTAATTTTGCTAAACTGTCCTCAGAAGAGAGATTACATCACTACAGGGCTTCTTTATTCTAGTTCCATTACGCCTATGTATCATTATGCTCTGCTACTACAAAATCAAGAGCTTTCCTTTGGGGTTTTGATGAAAATGGATGAAGCAATGAACTCCTTAAATGTTCAGCTGTTTAAATCAATATTTGCTCAGTGTTAACGATTATCTACCGAGGCTGTTACGCTGAAGTTTATGGCTACATAAGGCGTGTCGCTGTGTGCGAACTGCAGCAACCTGGAGTACGTTCTTGGTTTCTGCTCCTACCCAAGCTTAGACATGCAGTGCAGCAGCATGCCAGATTAAACACATGACCACTTTCTCTTTTGCGAGGCTCGTGTGTGTGTGTTTTTGATTCGTTCAGACAGACGAGTCTTGGATGTCATCACATCCTTTGTTCCAGAACAGACCAAGACCTTGCTGCTAGTTTCAAGCCTTTTGCGTATCGTTTCTTCATGTTCGGTCATTGCCTTTAGATAATCCTCTTGTTGGCTGCGCCTACAAGTTAAAGCAAGTAAAAACATGTTTGTGTGTCTGTCAACAGTACTCAGAAAAAGAGGACAAGTATGAGGAAGAGATCAAAGTTCTGACTGACAAACTGAAGGAGGTGAGATCCAGTGAAATCCTCTATCACTTGTGTGATTGAAACAGCTGGATAAAAACAAAAATACTTTCTGAAGTCATTCTAATAGTTTTTTGTTTAGCGTTTTTAATGTGAATGCGTCTTGTGTGCATTTTATTATTTACAAACCGGATTCTAAACAAATTGTGAATAAAATCTGAATGCAATGATGTGGAGGTGCCAACATCTAATATTTTATTCAGAATAGAACACAAATCACAGATCAAAAGTTTAAACAGAGAGAGTGTATCATTTTAAGGGAAAAATCTGTTGTTTCCAAATTTCATGGCGTCAACAAATCCCAAAAAAGTTGGGACAAGTCCATTTTTACCACTGTGTGGCATCCCCCCTTCTTCTTACAACACTCAACAGACGTCTGGGGACAGAGAAGACCATTTTCTCAAGTTTAGAAATAGGAATGCTCTCCCATTCATGTCTAATACAGGCCTCTAACTGTTCAATCGTCTTGGGCCTTCTTTGTCGCACCTTCCTCTTTATGATGCGCCAAATGTTCTCTATAGGTGAAAGATCTGGACTGCAGGCTGGACATTTCAGTACCCGGATCCTTCTCCTACATAGCCATGATGTTGTGATTGCTGCAGAATGTGGTCTGGCATTATCGTGTTGAAAAATGCAGGGTCTTCCCTGAAAGAGATGACGTGTAGATGGGAGCATATGTTGTTCTAGAACCTGAACATAGTTCTCTGCATTAATGGTGCTTTTCCAGACATGCAAGCTGCCCATGCCACAAGCGTTCATGCAACCCCATACCATCAGTGATGCAGGCTTCTGAACGGAGCGTTGATAACAACTTGGGCTATCCTTGTCCTCTCTGGTCCGGATGACATGGCGTCCCAGTGTTCCATAAAGAACTTCAAATCGTGACTCATCTGACCACAGAACAGTCTTCCATTTTGCCACACTCCATTTTAAATGACCCCTGGCCCAGTGCAAACGTCTGAGCTTGTGGAGCTTGCTTAGAAATGGCTTCCTCTTTGCACTGTAGAGTTTCAGCTGGCAACGGCGGATGGCACGGTGGATTGTGTTCACTGACAATGCTTTCTGGAAGTATTCCTGAGCCCATTCTGTTATTTCCTTGACAGTGGCATTCCTGTTTGAGGTGCAGTGACGTTTAAGGGCCCGGAGATCACGAGCATCCAGTAGAGTTTTACGGCCATGACCCTTACGCACAGCGATTGTTCCAGATTCTCTGAATCTTTTGATGATGTTATGCACGGTTGATGATGATAACTTAAAAGTCTTTGCTATTTTACGCTGGGTAACACCATTCTGGTATTGCTGCACTATCTTTCTGCGCAACAATGGTGGAATAGGTGATCCTCTTACCATCTTTGCTTCCAAGAGACACTGACACTCTGAGAAGCTCTTTTTATACCCAATCATGTTGTCAGTTGACCTAATTAGTGTTATTGGTCTTCCAGCTGTTGGTTATATGCTCAATTTCCTTTTTCCAGCCACTTATTGCTACTTGTCCCAACTTTTTTGGGATTTGTTGACACTGTGAAATTTTGAATCAACATATTTTTCCTTTAAAATGTTACATTTACTCAGATTAAACTTTTGATCTGTCATCTATGTTATATTACGAATAAAATATTGACATTTGCCATCTCCACTTCATTGCATTCAGTTTTTATTCACAATTTGTTTAGTGTCCCAACTTTTTTGGAATCTGGTTTGTACTTTTAACTGGTAAAGTGTTGAGAACTTTTCCAGCATTGCATGCTGGGATACTTGGTTAGGACTTGCTGACGTTTTGTGTCTGAACTCCATCCAGGCTGAAACCCGAGCAGAGTTTGCTGAGAGAACAGTGGCCAAACTGGAAAAAACTATCGACGACCTGGAAGGTACGAAACTAAAAGCGTTATTGTCTGCACATAAAGAGGACGCGTTCGATTTTAGTCTGTTTGATGCGTTTCTTTGTACATTTTAATATTCACGACCTGTGTGGTCGACAGGATATTACTTAGGAATTCTCCCTTCTGAAGGGCGGGTAGTCCATGTCAGCCACACTGCAAAGAGAACAGAGTATGCATTCACGTTTTGTAGGTCAGCAGTTTTTAGTCAGTGACCCACAGGGATCTGAGAGCAGCTTTAAAAGACACTGAAGACGGGCTTAAATCTGATCACCATATGATGATCATCATAAAGATCTGTGATCCCAATTACACATCTTTCTCTAAGTCAAGCATTTCTGCATCTTTTAAAAGCCTGACCTTTTTTTCTGTTTTTGTCTTTACCTTCCCTCTGCTCCTTTCTGCCTCCATCCGTCTCCCTCACTGCTGCTTTTGGCTTGTGTGTGTCGCTGCCATCTCGGCCGCTGCTCGCTGTCGACCTCTGACCTCCAGATGAGCTGTACGCTCAGAAGCTGAAGTACAAGGCCATTAGTGAGGAGCTGGACCATGCCCTCAATGACATGACATCTCTTTAGGCATCTTCTGCTGCTGCTTCCTCTCGCCTCTCTCTGCCTCTTCATGTTGCTCTGATTTATATCTGCAATCATGTATCTTGCTTATCTTGTTTCTCAAGAATACACTTGATTAAAATCTCTTGTTTCCTACTTTGCAGCATCTGTCTCTGTTCTTGGTTATATTTGTCATAGAATAGAAAAACCACAGTTTATAATTTTACAAGTTTTATTATAATGAAAGATCCAGTTTCATTAAACAAGGTGAGCATTTTTATCTTTGTGGTTTTGGTTTGCTGTAATAGTTTGCAACCTACTGTGACCCTTTGAGAGTCTTGATGTAAACCTGACCTTTTCTTCTAAAGTTTAACAAAAGGTTTAAGAAGTTTGGGCAAATAACTTAAAAACTATACTTTTTGGCTGTGAATGTTATAAACTAATCTTTTTTTTATTTATTTATTCCGGTATAGAAATATATTTGAATTTACAGTGGTGCTTGAAAGTTTTGTGAACCCTTTGGAATTTTCTATATTTGATGACCTAAAACATCAGATTTTCACACAAGTCCTAAAAGTAAAGAAAACCCAGTTAAACAAAGGAGACAAAAACGTTATACTTGATCTTTGATCTGCTGATTCTTGAGCCATTCTTTGGTAGAACCACTTGTGTGTTTAGAGTCATTGTGTTGCTGCATGATCCACCTTCTCTTGAGATTCAGTTCATGGACCGATGTCCTGACATTTTTCTTTAGAATTCTCTGAAATAATTCAGAATTCATTGTTCCATCAGCGATGGCAAGACGTCCTGGCCCAGATGCAGCAAAACATGCCCATACCATGATACTACCACCACCATGTTTCATAGATGGGATAAAGGTTCTTATGTAGGAATGCAGAGTTTTAATTTCTCCAAACATAACGTTTTTCATTTAAACCAAAAAGTTATATTTTGTTCTCATCCATCCACAAAACATTCTTCCAGCAGTCTTCTGGCTTGTCCACGTGATGTTTATCAAACTGCAGACGAGCAGCCATGTTCTTTTTGGAGAGCAGTGTTTTCCTCCTTCAACCCTGCCATGCACACCTTCCACAAACATGTTGTGAAGAGACATTGATAGATCCTGTTCTTTAAATCAAACGGGGTGCCCACTCACACCTGATCATCATCCCATTAATTGCAAATGCCTGACTCTAATTTCACCTTCAAATTAACTGATAATCCTAGCGGTTCACATATTTTTGCCACTCACATATATTTAATCTCGGATCATTTTCCTCAATATTTAAATGACCAAGTATAATATTTTGTCTCATTTGTTTAACTGGGTTCTCTTTATCTACTTTTAGGACTTGTGTGAAAATCTGATGATGTTTCGGGTCATATTTATGTAGAAATATAGAAAATACTAAAGGCTTCACAAACTTTCAAGCACCACTGTAAATATATCACATTTCTCATAAAACAATAATTTTCAGTTGTACTAGGAATTTACATCCCATCCAAAGTTACTATACTTTTTAAACAGTGACTCTGACTAAATTGTGTTGGTGTACAGAATTTTTATGAATATTGTGGTGAAATTATTAAATTACAGCTTTTATAATTTTACATATTTAAGTTGTGCTTTTAAAAGTGCGAGTCATATTAAAGAAAAGTCCAACACTTACAGAAAACCAAGCAATACGTTCATTCCACGACGTATATTTTACATATAGTGTTAACAGTGGGGGAACCATTGGAGCCTTCAACACTTTCAGAGAAGTCCTAAGAGCTCGGCACATTTGAAATGTTACGTTTAGAATTTTAATTTCATATTTATTTTATAAATATTTATTATGGAATAAAAATATCATGACCCTGTGATGGACTTGCGACCTGTCCAGGGTGTACCCCTCCTCTTGCACAGTGATGGCTGGACATGGGCACCAGCTAACACCCACGACCCGAAAATGAAGAAGCGGGTAAAAGATGATGTATGGATTTACTATATATAAAATATTTTCAATATAGTTTATCTTTTGCCAATTTTTTTCTTCTGTAAACTACTTTACAGATTAGTAAGATTTATTTTTTTAATTCATGAAATTAAAGTTATCCAATCAGGTTATCTTAATTTGTTTTGTCTCCAGGCAGAAACAGGAAGTGGTTAGATCATTAGTTGTCACTGTCGTCAAAGACCGAGCTCGGTCGGTCTCCCCAGGATGAGTTTGGGTAATTTTCCTGTCAGTCATTTAACAATCAAAATGCTAATATAGAGTGGGTGGGACCAAAACACTCAGGATTTTTTATTTTATTTAAATTAATTAATTTATTTGACCATGTGAAGATTTTTGATGGATTCATCTACACAGAATCCACACAGAAGATGTAGTTGCACTAAAAAGAATGTTAAATATCACATTTTACATTTATACTGACAATTTTCAATATTGATGCATTTCGGTTTTCAATATATGAAAACATTTTGCAGAAACGGTAAGTTCTGTTAATGTTAAATTCCAGTGTGAATTATTAAAATGATGTAGAGACTGGGCTGCCCGTCTTTGAGAAATGCTGGGACAGAATCGGGTGGGCCTTTTCAGGTTTTGTGTTCAGATGGGTTGTCCGTGTTGGTTTTACTGGTTAATGATGGGTCGGGATTCTCTTATTTAGGTTGTTGTTAGTGACAGTAAAATAAGAATAAATAAAAAGAGAAGCCTTCTCTTTTGGTGAATTGCTAAACTGAAATTCCAGTAACGTAATGGAACAGCGACTCTGTGGTGAATGGATGTTTACAATATTACAATCTAGCTGAAGGCCTAGCTCTTATAGTCACGGCTCATCGTGTCCCGTTCACTGTTAAAACAAAATTATTATTTTTTGTTTGTTTTTCTGCTCTTGTACTTGAAGATCCCTTTAACCACAGACACAAACCCATGATTAGATTATACTCTTATGATACAGATTTTCTTACGGACCCAAATCAGCCTTTACTACCGTCACTTTTATTTCAACATCCTAATCCAAAAAATTCATTTGAAATCATGAGCAAATGAATATTACATAAAAAAAAGAAAAGTAAAAGCAATCCAAAACCAGTCTACAAGTAGTTAAGGCTCTTTTAGTTTTACACATCACTGAAAGCACATAACGTACACAACCCCACACAAATGTCCCTTAAGATAATAATCTTGTTTTTATACTTTGTGTTTGGGTGTACAGCTTCTAATACGTCCTTATAATTGTAAGTTTCAGTTTATAATCTAGAAAACACTAGTTAGTATTTTGTTCCAGCAGTTCTCTAGCTGTCAGTAGTTTATGCATGAAAGGTAGTGTTATTTTATTCGTTTTGCATGCGGCACAGCTTAACCAAAGCACTTATGCAAAACAGCAGCCCAGTAAAATGGTTCACGCTGTACATTTCTTTTCTTCAAGATTAAAGTTGGCATGACGAGCAGTTTTATTAGCTGGTGGTTGACCGTTCACCATTTTCCTATTATTCTCTCCAGAAAAATTATCACACGCCAAGGAGGAGAATTTGGGCATGCACCAAGTCCTGGACCAGACCCTGCAGGAACTGAACAGCTTATAAACACACGGAGGAAGAGGATGAGACTGTCTTTAACATTCCACTAAACGTTCAACTCCATTCCGCATTTTGAGCTGTAAAGTCTTTTACTCCCCACTTAAAAGGGGGAGAGATTAACTTAATGCATGTCCCTTGGTGTTCGTTTTTTTTGTTTGTTTGTTTTTTATTCTTTTGAAAGACGAAATCATTTGGAATCCATCACTCGATCTTCACTTGTGATCACAAAAGTTACATCCAGAAGAAAGTTTTGATCACGTGTTTGGAAATAATTGGCAGTTAATTAATCCAAATAAGCTTCATATTGACCATAAATCACTGAAACGTGCGTAATTTGACATTATCTCCTGCAAGACAGATTACAGGTGATAACAGGTTTCACTTAGGCTGCATTAGTAGTTATGTTCTGTCTTGTGGTGATACGAAGTCACTCAACACTTTCTTCCACTTTTATCTTCTTTACATCCTTATGGTTGGTGCCCGTTTCAGCTTCTAAATTTATTTGGGTTTAAACAGTGCAGTGGCCTGATGGAAAGGTTGGAGTCAAACACACTATAGGGGCACATGTTGCTCATTTATACCCATTTGTACTTAAATAGAAATGAATGACTCTCTAGCCCAACTTTGACGAGCGTGTGGCTGTCATGTTGATATTTACAGTGCAACTTTCATTTTTGAGGATCTTTGGAGCCCAAACAGCCTTTCCTTCAGCTTGACAGGACCACTAACTGTACCATTGCCAACAATATGCCAAATTTGAGTCAATATGTGCCACAATATAGCAAGTGTTTGCCAAAATTTGTTGTAATGCCTGTGCGAGCTTCAGCCCAAACCACTGGGGCTCAGTCATCATGAATGCTTATTGTAAATATAGTAGAAGAAAGTTGGATATGTAATGAAGTTGCATTTCTTGGATTTTTCTTTACCCCGTTTACACTTTTATTTTTCTCCAGGGGAAATCTCAAAACCAAAGATCGCATGACTAAATTGTTTTTAAGTCTTGTTTTATTGTGGTCTCAGGATCAGGACCTCAGAGGCTGCTTCACATTTGATTGAGACTCTGTTAATAGTACTTTCAGCACCCCCTCCATGTCTACACAATAAATGTTTTGCAGAAATCCTGGTTCATTTGACGTTTTTTTCTTTTGGTGTTTTTTTTTATACTTTAACAGGAATGGAGAAAAGAAGCATTTTAATATGTCCGTTTGATTTTCATGAACCTGTTGGGTCTGAGTGGGACAAAGACCAAAGTGGATTGATGTCATCTTAAAACTTGCAGCTCAAAAATGTCATGAAGGTTTATGAAAACTAACATTTACACTGTTGCCAGGTTTTCATCAGTTCTTCCAGCAGAAATGTTTTGACCTGCAGAAAGTGTTCCCGTCTCCACCAGAAGTGCTACAGCTATCTACACTTGCAAATAACAAAATAGTTCTACGTAGAACGATTTAATGAAACGGTGACAACTATGTAAAGGTTTTTAAGTGTTTGAACCACTGTAAATAATTTGACACTGTACTTGCTAACAGCAGAAATCCTTTGTGACTTTTAAGATCTAAACCAGGGGTGTCCAAACGTTTTTCATAGGTGGGCCAGAACTGTCTAGATTAAAGGACTCGTGGGCCAGAAAAATGTGAATTTAAGATATATATTATTATTTTTAAAGCTTGATATCGCTCTTCTCCACCCCACATTTTAAAACTCAACAACCTGAACAATATTTTTGAGAAAGTTTAAATTCTTGTAGATCCAGAACATTAGGAGCCTCATAAGCTTTATTTGTTTATGAGGCCGACATGGTTTAGAGGCAGGGCATCCGGCTTGGGACCCAAAAGTCCCAGGTTCGATCCCCAGTCACTGCACATCACGTGGCGTCCCTGGGCAGCAGCCTCACCCCCAAAATGCCCCACGGGCGCCCTCAATAGCTGCCCACTGCACCACCTGGTGGTGGATGGGTTAAATGCAGAGACTAATTTTGGCATTGTATGGAAACATACGGTGATGACATTATTATTTATTATTTTTAGTATTTTATTTTTTTTTTTTTTTGGGGGGGGGGGGGGTCTATTGTTTGTGTTCGGAAAGTTAATTTTCATTTATTTTCAGAGACAAATGAGTACCGGTAGTTCTTCAAAAAGTTTGGACCATGGATGGCTCAAAAGGGTCATCAAAATTCTGAAAAACCCTCCAGCTGGCAGTCGCTAAAATGGATTCATGGAAGGTTTGAAGGGACCTTGTCCAATTCCTATTGATTATTAAATCAACTGAAATTATTTTATTTGAATAATTGGTTTAATTTAACCAAGTTTTATGAATTATTATCCAAGTTCTACTTTTTGGTAGGTCAGTAAAGGTTTGTTGATAAAGGGATTAATTAAGGCTAAATATTTGTATTGTACTTAATATCGCTTTTTTTTAGATTATTTTAATATGTTTTGCTGTTAAACCTAAAAATATAAAAACTATCGCCATCTAAAGGTCTACATCTGCTTCAACCTCTTAAGCTTGTGGGCCGCACAAAATCACTCCAAGGGAAATGGCACTCGGGCCACACTTTGGACACCCCTGATCTAAACCATTTGATAAATTTTCTTCTATTGCTCCAATTTAGTAAAAACACATGCAAATTAAAATTTATAGTTTGATAAATATCTTCATCATCATCATCCTACTCAAATAAGCCACTCCGAGGACACCAAGATTTTTAACCCGTCTTTTACTTGCACGGTTAAACAGTCACCATAAGGCTTTCACAGATGTACAAAGTTACATGCTTAGAGCCTCGTCAGTGAGAACCTGCACCGGACAGTGAGGCAGGAAGTGTTTTCTAATACACACTTGTCAGACAGAGGTGAGGTCAAGACGACTTTGGCTTTCCAGCTTCCAGATGAGGAGAAGGCCTTGGAGTTATCAGGTGCTTCTCTCTGAGCAGACGAGACTCTCTGACCTCACACGCGGGTCGACATTAATTAATTAATGATAAGCAGCCATAACCTTCACCTAAATTCCCCGACAGTTTTGTCGTTAAAGGGTTAGCAAAATGAGATTAGGATCCTTTCGGTCTTTGTCCATTCTGCCACCTGTTGATTAATGCAGCTCATGAGTATTTCCTTCTGAAAGCACAGCCTATGTAGGGAGACAAAAATAAAATAAGTATCTTCCTGCAAGCATAGCATGAAATGAAGTTTCTCTGACTTTGCCCCACCTGCTGTTAGTCTGCATTTGCCCCCTCGTGGCCTGCAGAGGATCGTTAAGCAGCCTGGACAAGCCACCACTGTGTGCGCGTGGCTGAAGATGGTGGTGATTCTGAAGCACACTGCAGTGCGGGTAAAGAGAAGACTATTAGAAATCACAAGACTTGTGCATGATGATCTCAGGAAGAATGGCTACCTGCACATTTGACATCCATGAAGAAAGAGTTGGGGCTCTGCACCAGCCTCTTCTTCTTGTGTTTCCTCATCTCCTCAGCTAAACTGGGGTGTAACAAATCTTTAGCCAGCTGCAAAGGAGAGCAGATGATTTTTAAATGTTTTTATTACCACAAGGCTTCTGGGCAATGAATAAGATCATATTTGTACCACTATGGGTTGTACGTTACTGCCCCCTAGAGTCTGATCAAATAAATACAGCAGCAAACATGCCCTGACAAGTTCTCATGTAGCTCAATCATCCAGGTCAATAAATCACAAAAAAGAGTTAAAACAGGTCATCTGGACAGATTTGTCTTTGTAGAAAAGTTTTGTCTTTCATCTGAAAGACTATGAGTTCAGCTTCTTATCACACAGAGACACTAAAATAACTAATAACATACAATAACAATAACATACGAGAGAAACAATAATGTTCTTTATCCTCATGGAAAGAAAACACATTATTTATCATCATGCGTTAGGTTACATTTTTGTTACACACGTATGGTTTTAAAAGACAATTCCAGCATCTTTCTGTGAGTCAGGACGAATCCCAACATTCAAACTCTGAAATAAATAAAACTTTTTTTTACTCACAGGCATGTTTTCTCAGATCACCAGGGATTTTCTGTTAAAATACAAATAAGAATGTGAGCTCCCAGTTAGAGTCTTCTGGTCTGGAGAGCCTGACTGGAGGCTGAGCAGGTTGATCTTTCTGTTGGGAGGAGGAGCAACTGGTCCCTGTTGAATATTGAACAGACCTGGGGGAGAGGTGGTGCAGAGGATAGAGAAGGTGGGCCTGTGATCAGAAGGTCGTTGGTGACACTCCACAACAAATGTAAACAGGATGCAATAATTTATTTACAGTGGAACATAGTAAAACATTAAGAAATTGTTTCATTTTTAGGGAAAATATGAATTTTATGAAAGGACAGGAACATATGCTGAAAAAGCTTAGACTGGTCCATGTTTCCCACTGGGAAGCATCCGCTCTTTTCACATCAGTTTAAGAACTGAGGGAGCAGCTGCTTTCAGACATCATTGTCTGATGTAGGATTCTAACTCTATAAGGAAGAAAGGTTAGAGGCCACTGCCCTAATAAAAACTATAACCCGAATTCTGATAAGTTGAGACATTGTGTAAAAAAACCCTAGAATGCTTTAATTTGTCACTCATATAATCTCATAATTTATTCACAATGGAACATTAATAAATCCAGTGTTTAAATAAGAATTAAAAACAACTTTTTTCCCTTTTGATTTTTCATCTACTAAATAGAAGGACCATCCTATTATCAGAGCACAGTTCAAAAACCTCCCTCTCTGTTGGTATGGGGGTGCATTAGTCCAGATTACACATCTAGAAACACACCATCACTGCAGAAAAGCTAAGCTGACTCAGGATAGAGGTAGCGGACACCCTGGACAGGTCACAAGTCTGTCACAGGGACACGACAAACGAGACAACCATTCACTCTCACACTCACACCTAGGAACAATTTAGAGTGACCAATCAGCCTAACATGCATGTTTTTGGTCTATGACAAGAAACCGGAGTACCTGGAGAAAACCCACACATGCATGGAGAGAACATGCAA